GGCAGCAGCAAGTGAGTGTGGGGGCAGAGAGAGAGGGGAAGAGGGAAACGAGGGGGACAAGGAGGGGGGCGGGTGAGAGAGAGAGAGAGACAGACAGATGAGGGCGTAAGATTTTAAAAGAGGAAGCTTTTTGTATAGAGAAATTGCATAAATTTGAAAAAAATGGAGGAAGAAGAGACCAAGGGATGGGAAGAAATATTCTGGGAGATTTTTATGCCGCAGAATATTTAGAAAATGGGAGGGGATGCTGTGAAATTAATCCTAATTATTAGTTTATCCCAATCCTAGAGGAGGAAACCAGTAAAGGGTAGTGGATGTGGGGGGCTTGTTTGTTTACTAATAACCCTCAATGTAATACACTACACTATATGGATACTGGTGTTTGATGTCCCATTCCACAGTATGAAGTTCAAGCAATTAGTTCACTGCCATTGATAAAAAAAACAAAGAACTTCCACCACATATTTAACACGAAATTGATGAAAACAAAACTACAAGGAAACAGTATCCACCTGCGGATTGTCAAACCAAATTCTAGAACAATGATTGCTTCCAGTATATATCCAAGATCCTTTGTCCGCCAAAATAGCTACATCAAAGACAACGAATGAGGAAACATGCTGCAACTAAAGAACAATGTCGAGCTAAGATACACATATAGAGTGATAGTGATGTCAGACATGATAAGACAGAGTTATCCCATCAGGTGCATGCAAACTTCTTCAGCAATTCAAAAGGATAGCCAGAAGATGATATCAAAAAGTGCACTCTGTGAAAAGGCTAATGCACATTTTCAATAAAAATATATTTGCTTCTGAACAGGTCCAAAAAAGGGGGCTCCCCTCTCCTAATATTCCACATCTACTTACAAATCATTCAGCATAGGTTCAAAAGACATAATCATGCATCCAAGCGCACCTGCTAGAAAGAGAATTCAAAGGAAAGATAATAAAGAACTCCACTTAGTTACCTGAACCAATACATTGCATGCCAGGGAGAGAAGCTCTTCACCATGCATATTTTCCTGAGGATCAAGATCCTTTGACAAAGGAAGATTCCGACAATATATCTTGGTCATTTTCATGGCATTGCCTTCAAGTTCTGTACAACAAAAATAATAATATTTAGTAAGACGCAGAAAAAGACAACCTGTAGTGAAGAAAATTGAAGAAATGTGCAGGCTTGCTCAAATAAGAAAGGTCAGTGAAAGTCGAGATAATTCATTCGCTGTGTTTCTTCTGACAGAAATTTCATTGTAGACTGAAAATACAACAGGAAGTTTCCTGAGAATGTTCATTTAGGAAGACGGATGTTTTCAGAATCTATCAATAAACCAGACCAAAAAGATATACAGTTTCAAAGAAAAGGAATCCAAACTCACCAGAAAAAAATAATATATATATATATATATATATATATATATATATTATTAATCATGATAAAAATCAAGGGAAAAAAATCTCTAGAGACCCCATTTTCAGCTTTCATTTCTTCCTAAACCCAAAATTTCAAAACCTATCTTCTAACCCCCTAAATAACTTTATCTATTTTTATTCCAACTTTTAACCCAAACAAATTAAAAAAGACATCTTTTTTCTAACTCTCTCTCTCCTCACATGTTTCTCTCCAGACTATCCACCTTCAGGAGCTCTATCTCTCTTTCTCTCTCTAACAGCCCTCTCTCTTTCTCTCCACCTTCCATCTCTCTCTACTCGCCCTCTATCCACCTGCCGTCTCTCTCCTCCACCCGCCATGAGCTGTTAAGCCCAAATCCACCTCTTTTACATAGAAGAAAGCTTGTTTGCTACAGAGCACCTCCACTCCCCTGTCATCGTCTCCACTCCTCTCTCTCGAAACTCTCTCCCTAGACAACTTATCCCCATTTTTAACTTCATCCTTTTGATTCTTGACCTGCTATTTGTCAAGGATCACCATGGCCAAAAGCCCATGACTTGCAAAATCTCAAACCACAATTGCGGCAAAGGCCCCTGGTTTCAGCCCTTTGTTATTGCTCTGGTTTCTAGTCACAACTGTTGAGCCATTTTTGTTGGTTACAGTGGTCGCAATAGGAGCCTGAGCCCTAAGAGTGTTAGGAATTGCTGCAATGGCAGGTGGTGAAGTTGTCGAATTGAAGGGTGAATTGGAGAGAGTTGCAGGTGCATAGCAGAGATTCTTCAACGCCCTACCGCAAAGGCCTGGATTTCCAGAAAAATATTCTAGCTTTTGATCCAAACTTGCTGGAATCTCACTGGAAAAGCGGTACTGAATATTGCCACCCAGGTCTTCAGGCAAAAGACCCATTCAACAAATTCGAAGAAAAATCCAACACTTAGCTATTGAAGATAGCCGAACCCACTGAGTAAATTGCCAGAGAAGTTGTTGCTGAGGAAGAGGGATGTAAGCTCCAGTGCCTGGGCTAGACTGGCAGGAATCTCTCCAGACAATGCATTAAAAGAGAGGTTGAGATAGAGGAGATGGGTGAAATTTCCGGTCATACTGGCGGGAAGCTTTCCAAAGAGTTCGTTGTTGGCTAGGGAAAGGAGGGAGTTTCGAGCTAAGGGAGAGGGTTTCGAGAGACGAGTGGAGACGATGATAAATAAGAGCTCTTGTCCCCGCAAATAAGAGCTCTTGGAAAGCCCGCTCAAGCTCCCTGCTTTAGGTTCCTGAGTCTAAGAGTTGGGGGAGGATAGAGAGAGAGAGGGGTTTGGGAGGTTGATCGGGGGAGAGAGAAAGGGAATCATGTCAAGAGAGAGGGCTTTAGAAAAAATGTATTTTTTAAAAATGTTTGGGTCAAAAATATTAGTAAAAAATGAATAAAATATGTTTAGGGGGTTAGGAGATATATTAGAGTGAATTTCTATGTAGTAAGATAGGTTTTGCAACCTTAGGTCAATGGAGAAATGAAAGTTGAAAATGGGGTCTATAGAGATATTTTCCCTAAATTCAATGTAAACACTATCATCACATTACAAGCTTTAAAATAGCAAAAGAATTCAACATGTCAAAGAACCGAGTCATGCAGACCAATGTCAGATTTTGGAGAGGATATATGGGGACCCCTAAAAGACAGCTCAAATAATTTTAAGGGAAATTTGTCAAAATACCCATGAGAGATGCACTAGTTAACAAATTACACATTTGACACTTCCAATTTATGATCATGCATCATTTGATGGATATTTTGAACCTAAATCAACCTAAATGGGTAAAATGTTAAATAATTTATCTCTTATATGTATTGATAAATTTCCCTAATTTTAAAGATAATTGCTGCAGATGAATGACTGATGATCTACTGCAATATATATATATATATATATATATATATATTAGAGAGAGAGAGAGAGGAACACAGAGCTTAAGCACATACATATAATTTAGTAATTAAGATAATAGATTACCACTTTGAGGAAGGTTGGAAACAGTATAAAGCTGTCCGTTGATTCTAAAAATAGTGATAGCTTGACCTAATGCTTTCATGGGCTCTGGGGAAGTAAGTCCTTCAAAGCTTGACCGAAGTTTCTCTACCAATTCGTCTTTTTCATGTGGCTCTAGAATTTTTAGGAACTCCTGGACATCTGATGTAAAGGAAGACAAATGTCCAAACCTGCATCAGTCAAGTATGAGTTTCAAGGCTACGAGTAGTACTTCCCACATGACAGCAAAGATATTTATGCTAGTTAAACTTAAGAAGGAAGATCCAAAAATTAGGTGAAAATTAAACCAAAATATTCAGGCAACATTAATTCAAGTTATAAAAAATGAAACAAAAAATTAACAGAGACATACTTTAAGAGAGAGAGATAGACACAAGGAACACGAATATTATCTAGAAAACAACTATCACCAGAAAATGCTATATAAAAGAAAAATATGCCTTCTTAGCTATGCCAATACAAGTACATCATCTCGAACCTACATAATTCTGAAAGGCCACCACAATGTAACTGAGAGGGAACTGAGATGAAATGCCCCAGGAGTTCAACACAAATTGATGAGGCAAAATAAATTCTGATTGCTTTTCCATAAAAGACTATTAAGACCAGACTGGTCATCATCTGGTGAGCCCAACAGTCTACTCCAAATAAGTTGCACCAGCTGATGCACCAGCGAAGTTACCCCTTGGACACCATGTCAAAACTCACAAAGATGAGCAGCATTAGTAAAGTTTTTGAGCAAAAGGCTGGGGTATGAACCCAAGAAATTTTACGCCATGTTCATGCAATCCACCATCGATATAAAAGTGAAATAAACATGAACTATCTGCTATATATAAATTAAAAATTTATCAAAATCCTGGAGCTGCTGCCTGTGGAGGCATTCTTAGAAATGATGGAGGATTTATAGCTATACTCGCATCATCACTTGGCACAGTTTCAAATAATGTAGCAGAATTTGTTGGGGTTTGGGGCTATCAAACCCCGTGAGAGCATGTAAAAATAGTAAATATAGTGAATTGTGCACTTCAGAAGGAGCATGCGTTGTTTGAGTTACCTGAGTTGGGCGTTCTATGGCCCAGGTTATGCCTTTCCCCTAGGTATAGCTACTACCGTTGAGGATTTTCTTGAGGATCATCCCTTATTGAGGTCGGGAGATCCCCAGGGACAATATTTATAGGCCGTGAGTGCTTCGCGGTCTCCTGCATGTTGTTGTATGCTTGTGAGTGTGATGGCCAAATTCTCAACAAACTTCTACACGGCATGTATATATCACAGCCGCATTCTAGGAAGCAACTTGCCGAAGCATACATGTCGACATGTATAAACAAAATACCCCTTGCACTATTGCGATATATGCATGTGACTTGCTCTTGGCAGGGAAACCTGTAATCCATATGTCGATACCATGGTTCCACTATTTTTTAGCCAACTTACAGTGTTCATGGGTCCCACTGGATTGGTTTCAGAATATAATTGTGGATCATGGTTTCCAGCACAAGGAAAAGTGCCCTGACAGCCAGTTTTTTGACCCATTGTACCATGGGTCAAGGAATCAAGGGATAAGTTCCCTAGATTCCTTCCTAATCATGATGGTTGATTTCAGGAACAGATGGCTCTAATATGTCTCTCTCACCTCACAGATAACCTGGGAATCCTATGGTCAAATTGAATCCTAATTGAGATGGGAATACCCTAAGGCCCTAAGGCCTATATAAAGGGGGGTCCTCCCCCTCGTTCAAACCATTAGAGTTCAGACATCTCTCTCTCTCTC